CACTTGGTGAGAGAATTTGCTAGAAGATGCCAAAGGGGGTGGACTTAGGTAGAGACAGCTTAGAAAAAACCCACCACTCAGGAATCAGGGGACTTCCAGGGAGCTGTCCATAACTCCCAGGTCTTGGGTAGGGGACAGGAGTCTAGTGTGGGGGAACCTCCAGGTTCTGACACTCAAAGGCTCTCTGGCTTTATCTTGCCAGTCAGCAGAGCAGCGGATGGAATCATAGCGTCCAGAAACTTGCCCGAGTTTCTGTCTTTGTGTCCCTGAGTCAGACACAACTTTCGCACCTTGGGGGGCAGGGGGGAACAGGGCTGCCCTTGTGCAGTGCACAACCTGCACAACCACACATGGCAGGCTTGCATACCTCAGCCCCGCAGCCAGGCCCACTCTCGAGTTTTATGTTTCCCCCTTTTTCTCTCTTGTCCCCTCAATCCCTCTTTTCTCCCAACTCCCAGGAGGGGAAGAAAGATGCTGAATCCTATGTGTCCTCTGCCTACATCTCATTCTCCCTGCCACCTTCCATTTTTCAAACAGGCTACGTTACTGGTGGGTCAGTTGGGTTTAGAGAGACGTGGACCTGCTCCACGCCAGGGTTGGCAATGAGAAAGGCAGGGGTCTGGGTGGTATCCCCTCAGTCCTGGTGGACACAGGCCTCACCTGGATGGTAGGGACCACTGCCAAGGAGTGTGGGCCAGGACCAGAACTATAGAAAACAGCGACAGGAGGGTTTAGGTTTCACCCAAGGAACAGCTCGTTCCTGGCAGTCCCAGATGTTCTTGCTGTTTCCAGATGTTCCAAATGAAAAAAAAAAAAAAACATTTCTCTGAAAAGGCGTCAGATGTTCAGTTCACGGAACAAACAGCCCAGGAATATAAACATCACCTGAGGTCAGCCTGGGGACCACAGGCCCCTTGTGCTGGGGGTGGGGGGTGATTGGAGACCCCCCCCCAGAGGAATGGGGGGGAAATCCAGGGGTTTCTTCCTTTAGCAAAGTACTTCCTCGTGATGGAGACCTTGGTTAGCTTTGGAGCTAGTGTCCCCCCAAAGTTGGGCAGATAATTGGGGAAGACCTGGGGCACACACGTGTGTGTGTGTGCGTGTGTGTGCGCGCACGTGTGTGGTCACATGATGCGCTGCCTGGGCTGCGTGGTGTGGGTCCTGCTCAGGAGCTGGGCCCGGGGCCCAGGGTGACTACAGGGGGCACGGAGGGTGGGGGGCAGATGGCATCTTCCAAACACACCCACGCACCCACATCCCCTGTGGGCAGGCATGCAGATGTGGCCTTTGGACTTCATTCCCATTCATGCCTGGCAGGGATCCATTTTCAGGAGTGGGTGGAAGCAGCGGGGCCCCCACCGCCTGCAGGGTTATTTGTCACAGCTGGGGCTGTGCTGTTGCTTCTCCGGTGACAACAGCACAGAGTTCTGTCTCGGGTTGTGACGCCTTTTCTTTCCTGGAACAGGAGGCCCCATAAGCCCACTCCTGCCTCTGCCCCCGGCTACCCCGGGCTGCACACCCCAACATTCGGCAGCCTCCACCTCCCCCTTCCAGGAAGGCAGCATCGAGACAAGAGATGGGGGTGGAGGGAGAGGGGACAAGGGGCTTAGGCGTTTGAAGAAGCAAGAGGTCAGGGACCCGCAGCACCCCTGGGGAGGGTGGGAGAGGGCAGAACCTCAGTTTGGAAGGAGGGGCTCAGACCTCCGCCCCTCCCACTAATCCACTCTGCCTGGCCCTGCTGGGCTTGCTGCTTTGTGGCAGAGGGTGGAGGCCCGCTGGCTAAGAAGGAGGTAGGCTTGATTCCTGGCCCTGTAGTGTTCCAGCCAGAAAGCCGCCCCAAGTTACCTGGTGGTTCTCAGTGAGGAGTGGTCGCACCCCACCCTGGGGGGCACTGGCAAAGGCACTGGGACCAGCTGATAGCTGATGGAGGGGATGATCTGAAATATTGGCTTTTGTTTTTCATCTAGTATTTTGCCTCTTTTCCTCCACTATTCAAGGCTCAGGGGAAGGGTGGGCCAGGGCACCCTGCAAGCTCTCCTGTCCTTGGAGCTGGAGAAGCCCCAGGCGCAGTGTGGAGAAACTTAAGAGTGAGAAGGAGCCCTCCCCCCCCCACCCCGCCCCAGGGAGGGAGGTCAGCACCCTGGTGGGGGAGCTCAGAACCCTGCAGGGATGCTGGACCCCTCTCCCCACGCATAGAGAACAGCAAGGAGGGAGGGGCCACACCATGTGTTCCTCGGGCACCTCGGGGCCTCTGGAGGACGCAGAGAAGCGAAGGGGGCTTCTAGAGAGGAGGGGCTGGGGCCGCTGGGTGCCAATGCCATTTCCTGGGCACCCTCATGGAGGCGGGGGGAGCGCGGCGTTGCCTGTTGGGGAGGGGGGCCGCGACCCCTGACCTCACCTGGCGTCTTGGACTCCAGCTAAGAGGTTGGAGCTGTAACCTTAAAAATAAAACTGCCAGTTATCTTACCGGCAAAAGACGGGTTAATTCGGGAAGAGCAGAGAATCGCAAGACCAAACAGGCAAGCTAGGCAAAACTAGAGGCACCGCCACCAAAGGGAGGACCGGCTTCTTCATAGAGGAAAGGGGGACGTTGGGAAGGCTGTTGTAAACGCAAAGTCTATGGGAGTAAAGTGGGAGTAGGGAGTATGGTGGCTTCTCATTGGCTGAGTTCTGAGTGTCTCTCATTGGCTGGGCTGTTGCCAGGGCAGGAGGAAAGCCTTTCCTCTCCCTCCCGGATGGTAAAGTGGCAGCCACCTGCAAGGTCCACTTCTTCCTGTTGGGTCTGCAATCGATGAGGAGTGGTGGAGCCTGAGAGCTCCGCCTGCTGAACCTCCCAACTCCGTTTTAGTGAGGCTTCCCTTTATTAATTTTCAAAACCCAAGCCTCCTTTTGGAGGGGGGCGGGCAGGAGAGAGCTGGCCTGGGCCAGAAAGGGCGTTGGGGGTCCTCCTTATCTTGCCGTCTGCCCACCCTGAGGTTCCCCAAGTCTGCCCCATTTGGCTCCAATCCCCACCAGCCCTTCTTGCTTCTAGCAGCCCTCAGACGCTGTCAATGTCTGCACAAGGAGGTGCAGAAGGAAGAAGCCCGCACATGAGAGGCACCGGTCCGGGGGGTAGGTTTATTATAAGAACTGTACAAAGGAGCCTGCCTGCCAGCCTGGCTTGGGTCTGTTCCCACCCAGTCAGAGTAGGAATGGGTGTGGGCGTGCAGGGGAGGGGGCCATGGGCAGGGGAGGCTCTGCAGTCTGTATGAAGTCCAGTGGTGAGTATCCAGTCCAACAGATGTGGAGGCTCTTGGGGCCACCCCAGTTTGGGGCCCCAGGTTGAGGGAAGGGCAGGGGGCAGGGTGCTGGTCGGGGAGGAGGCTGCCCTCTCTAGGACGCATCTTCTGAAGCAAGAGACAGAATGGTTGCAGGAAGGTTAGAAGGAGTAGGGCCTCCTTTCCACGGAGGACACAAGCAAGAGACAGGGAGCGGGGCTGGGGCAATGGGTGTGATGAACAGAATAGGAAGAAGGGACAATGGGTGGCCAGGAGGCCAGAGAGTAGGGCAGACGGAAAGGAAGGCTCCAGCCTGTGGACACACGCGCACACACACACCCACACACCCACACACCCACACACCCACATTGTTTTGGAGGTTTTGCTGCTTCCTGAGTTTTAATCAAACTGTTCACAAGAAACAAGAAAGAGAAGAGGAACTAAGGTCAACGGGGACTCAACGTGCAAACCTTACCAGACATGTTCACACTCATCCACACACTCACAGCACAGGCACACCTGCATAGGAGACACACACACACACACACACACACACACACACACACACACACCAGACTACAGGGGCACGCTGACACAATACACACAGAGGCAGGGCACAGTGCTTCGTGGACTTGAACACACACACAGCTGTACACACAGGCATGAAGCAGACACAAGGCACACGCACAAGTGAGTAAATCCAGTGACGCCTGAAGCAGGTGTCTCACTGCCTCCTCTGAGCTCGGCCTCCGTCTGTTCTCCAAGAGCCAGAAGAGGCCTGGCACGGCCACACCCGGACCAGTGGTACTAACAAAGATGCTGCCTGGCATGCCAGGCAGCAGGAAGTTGGAAGGTCGGGCCTGAGCCAGGTGAGCTGTGCACGTCCCAGGGTTGAAATCTCTAACATGGGCTTGACGACAATACTCTTAGGATCACTTTGAGAAGGGGGGAGAGAAAGATGAGGGAGGAAGAGATGGGTGTGCTGGGGGGTGAGGCTGGGTGAGGCTAGAGAGAGCCCTGTGGTGCTAATCGGGGAGGGAGGGCCCAGAAGTCTACCTCCTGAGCTCCAGGGTCCCTGCCCCCGCCCCAGGTCTGGGCGCTCTGGCCAAGGAAGCCTCCCGTGCAGTGATGCGGCTGGCGGGACCCCACCTCTATCGGGAAGAGCAGAGCTCTTCTCCTAGGAAGCCATGCTTCCTAGGAGAAGACAGTTCTTGAGTGGACTCCTCCCTCCTGCTCGTCCCCCAGGGGCCAGCCAGGGGAGCCAGGGGCTGCACAATGGACAAAGCGGGACGTGGTTTCAGGGGCCACAACCCTCGCCAGATGCATCAGGATCCAGTGGCCCATCGGACTCGGGGAGCCGCTTGTGGACCAGTGACGTTTCTCTTCTCCAGGAAATTCGTGAGCTGGCAGGACGAAGCTGTATCCCAGTCACGGGAGGCTTGGCACGCCCTGGGTCAGGTGTCCGCTCTCACTGAGTTAAGACATCTTTATCCGGGAGAGGCCTGGGGGGCCTGAGCCACTTCCTGGGGAGAGGCCTGTAGCCCTTAAGACCCCGGTGGCAGGACGGCAGCTCATCCCTCCACTGTAGGCTGGCCCCTCCCCCGCATGGGGGGCAGAGATCTCTGGTGTTCCGACCTCCCCCGAAAGGAGAGGCAGCTGGGCCCATGAGGAGGTGAGAGCAACTTGAAGTGAGAAACCAGGGAAGCGGGGGGGGGGGGGGGGGGGGAACGGAAGGTGGGGGGAGCCTCAGGCCCAGGGTGGAGCCTCCGAGGGCAATTCCCATTTTCCATGGCCTGGGTGTCAGCCCCAGTGTGGCCACAACCTGTCCCCGACAGGGAGCCAGTCAGCCGCAGACTCAAAGCCTGCTCCCTCGGCAAGCAGGCACCAGGAGGGAGTTTTGGGGGTGCCGTGCCAGGCTCAGCTGGCTACCTCGCCGTTGCTACTAGACAAGAGACTCTTTGACCCCTGGGCGCACTGTCTGCCCCAGGGGTGGGGGGGGAGGGAGGGCAGCATCCGAGGGGCTCATGGGCGTGAGCCCGATGGCAGGTCCGGCGTCCCCTGTCGAGCCCCTTTCCTCACCCGTGCTCGGCACGCCGCGGCTCCCATTCTCGTGGCCGTACGTCTTGCCCATGGTGGCGGCGATCAGGCCCTCCTTCTCCGGGCCACCGTCCCCACTACCGTCCTGGCTGTGGCGGTACATGTAGGACGCCTGCTTCACCGTGCGCTGGAGCAGGTGCCGGCGGTAGGCCCTCTGGATCCTGATGGCACACACCTCCTCGTGCTTCCTCTTGAGGGTGGTGGTGATGGGCTCGTAGGAGACCTTGGAGGGGTTGGCGGCCATGAACTTCTCCTCCATGGTCTCCTTGAGAGCGTCCATTTCCCCAGAGTCACCCAGGACCTCCTTGGTGAGGGCAAAGAGGATGTCCAGGCAGTGGATTTTGTCCCCCGGCACCATGGGCAGGTCCAGCGTGATGAGCTTGATCTTGTTGGGCTTGGCGATCCTCAGCGGCTCCTGCAGGGTGTCCACGAAGTCCGAGAGGCGGCTGTAGGCAATGAACTGCGTGGCATCGGGGTCGAACTTCTCCCACGTCTCGTAGAACATCTCGAAGTCGTCCTCGCCGAGGGGCTCGCTGCTCTCCTCGGTGGCCACGTTGAAGTTCTCCAGGATGATGGCGATGTACATGTTGACCACGATGAGGAAGGAGATGATGATGTAGCTGCAGAAGAAGCAGATGCCGATGGAGGGGTTGCCACAGTCGCCCCTGACGCTGGTGCCCGGGTTCTCGAGTGTCGGGTCACAGTCGGGGGGCCCGCTGTTGAGGATCGGGTTGAGGAGCCCGTCCCAGCCAGCCGACGTGGTGATCTCGAAGAGGCAGATGATGCTATTGCCAAAGGTCTCAAAGTTGAACATGTCGTCGATGCCCGACTCCTTCTTGACGTAGGCAAAGTTGGACATGCCGAAGATGGAGTAGATAAACATGACCAGAAAGAGGAGGAGGCCGATGTTGAAGAGGGCCGGCAGGGACATCATGAGGGCAAAGAGCAGAGTCCGGATGCCCTTGGCCCCACGGATCAGCCGCAGGACACGCCCAATCCGGGCCAGGCGGATCACCCGGAACAGTGTGGGAGACACGAAGTATTTCTGGATCAGGTCAGAGAGCGCGAGGCCTGCAGGGAGCAAGTGTGAGGAGCACTGTCCTTGGGGTAGGAGGCGGGCTCGGGGAGCGGGGCGTGGGGCGCATGCAGGGCTCAAGGGGGCCTGGCCCGGTATGCTCCTCCCCAGAACCGAGCAAGAGGAGCACAGTCCAAATGGCCCGACCCATGAGGCTGGGCTCCCCCAGGGTCGCGGGGCCACGGGCTCTGCTCTGCCCTGACACAGCCGGAAGGAGGTGAGATAGGCCCAAGCTGATGGGGTTCAGGGTAAGCCGACTCCCAAGGCTGTTTGTAGATGCCCCAGATGAGACAGAGAGGGAGGGCAGCTCTGTGTGTGACTCGGAGCGTGACTTGTTTGTGACTCAGTCTCCTCAGCTGTAATGCAGAGGTGGTAACAGTACCTACCTCCTGGGGTAGCACAGTGTCAGGCAAATAGTAAATGGTCAGTAAATGGTGGTTAGTTGCTGTCGTGATTACACACGTCTGTGCAATTCTGTGTGTGTGGAGCCTGGAACCATCTTCTGTCTTCCACTAGGCTCACGGGCACCTGAGTGCACATCTACTGGTTTCTAGAAGCGTATTCATGGGTGTGCAGGTGACAGACTGCCTGTGGACCCGGCCCATGTGCCTTTTGTGGATTAAGTGTGAACTCCAGCTGCCTACGCACATGTGTCCGTGTACATGCGTGTGTGAGCTTTCCAGGTGCAAGAGCAGGTGCGTGAGTGCCAGGACAGGAGCGCCGGGCCCCCCCGAGTCTGCCCGGCCCGGCCCCGCTCACCCACGATGGACAGGATGACCACCACGAAGTCGAAGATGTTCCAGCCGACGGTGAAGTAATACTGGCGCAGGGCGAGCATCTTGAGCACGCACTCGCCGGTGAAGACGATGATGAAGACCATGTTGATGTTGTAGAGGATGTCCACTTTGAGCTGACTCTGGTCATCTGTCTCCACCATCATGGTGACCATGTTGAGGCAGATCAGGATCATGATCGCAATGTCGAACGCCTGCTTGGTCACGCAGTCGTACACCATGCCCTGGATCTTGTTCTGCGGCGTGGGAGGGGTGCGGGGGCGCGGGTGGGTGGATTTTGGCGGGCGGGGGGGCAGTGGTCAGGACCCACACAGGATGTGGACGGGCGGGAGACACAGGAAGACACAACAGCATGAGAGAGAGACGGGGGCGGGGAGGTGTTAGGGCTTGTGGGAGAGTCGGCCACGGCAGGGAGGGGAGACCCGTCCGGACAAGCCATTCTGGGGGGGTCCATGGGCCCCTCCCTCACTCCAGGACGCCTCCTCCTCTCACGGTCCCCCGGCAACCTCTCATCCTTCTCCCGAAGTCACTGCTCACCGGGGGGGGGGGGGGTCTGGACACCCTCTTCCTCCCGCTTCTAGGGGCCCTTGCCCCAGAGGCCACCCGCTGAAGGGGTGGGCCGACACTGGGGGTGCGGACCAGCGCCTGGGGTTTATCAGGTTGCTGTTGCCCCCACACGCAGTGCCTCAGTGTGGTTACAAAGAGGCAAGCTCCCCGCATGGGGACCCAGCGGCACACGGGGGACACCACCTGGTGGGCGGAGCACAGCCTGCATTTTGCCCCCATGGGCCCCCTTGGGCACAAGGTTCATCCAGGCTGTAGGAGGAGGGGCTCAGAGGGCCGGTACCTGGGGCCGGGGAATTGGCTTCTGAGGCTTCTTGGAGCCAAGCTTCTTCATGGCGTTGTAGTATTTTTTCTGTTCCTCCGTCATGAAGATGTCTTTCCCTCCAAAGTATAGTGGGATGGTGCCTGTAAGGCCAGAAGCCCCTCTTCTCTGCCTCCAGGACCTCCCCACCTCAGGCACCACCCTTAAAGCAGCCCGCACCCCAACAGGGGACCGGGAGGGGCCAGAGATGGGGGCTGACGGAGGAAGGGGAAGGGGGTCTGCGGGGTCCTGAGAAAGGAGGGAGGGGTGTGGGGTGACAGAGTCTGGAAGAGGACCAGCACTGGCCCATAGCCTGTTTGGGGCCAGACACTTGCCATCAGGATCTCGTTGGGTCCTCTGAACGACCCAGCTGGGTAGGGAGCACCAGCCTCGTTTCTTAACAAGGTAACCAAGGTTCACAGAGGCCAAGTCCCTTCCTCACGGTCGCCGGGGAGGGTCTGAACCCAGGCTTGCTGCCTCAGTCATGCTGCCCGCCACAGCACAGTCGCTGCTGAGGCAGCACGTGGGACTATCCGAAGGGACAGATGAGCGAAGAGAGGGAGATAGAGCCCAGGGAAGGTGGGTGGATACTCATCTTCTTCTTCTGCTGGTTGAAGTTGTCGATGATGACGCCGATAAAGAGGTTGAGGGTGAAGAAGGACCCAAAGATGATGAAGATGACAAAATAGAGGTACATGTAGATGTTCACCTCATACTGGGGCTGTTCTTCCTTCTGCAGAGGCCACAGGACAGGACAGGCTGGGACGGGGTGGGATGGGGAGGTTGGGGGGGCATGTTGGCTGCCCCCTGCTCCCCATCTCACTGTGGGCAAGAAGGGCCTGGGGCCCAGAGGTGGGCCCTTCCACACCCAGGCTCCCGAGTTTGGGGGCTTCTGAGGAGGCGGCATGGGGCCCCGGAATTGCCATTGTGTCTCTGGTCTGCATCCTCTCCCCGGGGCTCACTCACCGGCTGCATCTCGGTGAAGCCCACTCACCTCCCGGGAGTCCACGGCCGCATACATGATGTCCATCCAGCCCTTGAAGGTGGCCTGGGAGAGTGTGGTTGGGTGTGAGGAGATGGCCGTTTCCACCATCCATGAGTCTCCCTCCTCACCCCAGCCTGGTCCTCCCCAGAGCCCCACAGGGCAGGCATCACATAGAGACCAGAGAGGTCCAGATACTACACAGCACTGGGAGCAGGGTGGGGGGCCTCCTAACAAAGAGTAACAGTGGGTTCAGGTACAATACGAATCTGGGAGCACTTCCATCCCAGTTTTGTGCGAGGGCAGCAGGTTACACTTACCACCTGCAGGAGGGAGAGGTAGCCTAGACCCACGTTGTCATAGTTGACTTTGACGTTGAGCCAGCGGACCTGGCCTGTGTGCATCAGGCTCTCACACTCAGACTTGTTGTTGACCTCGGAGATGTCAAACCTCTCAGAGGTGGTGGTGTTGATGCAGTAGTAGAACTTGCCGGCAAACAGGTTGACACCCATGATGCTGAAGATGAGCCAGAAGATGAGGCAGACAAGCAGCACATTCATGATGGAGGGGATGGCTCCCAAGAGGGCATTCACTACCACCTGGGGGGCCGGGGGGGAGGGGTCATTGCCAGATCTTTACCCAGGCCCCTTTGGGACAGGGCTCCCCACCTACACTAACAAGGGCACCAGACAGGGCTGGGCATTGTTATTCAGGGAAGGCTTCCTGGAGGAGGGTCACTCTGAGCCAGGCCTGGGGGAGAAGTCTGCTGGGCTCTATGTTGGGGGGTGGGGGTGGGGAAGTGAGGAGTAGGGTTGGGGGTACTGCTGGCCTATGGTTGAAGAGAGCTCTCTGCTTGGCTGGAGCCATCAGCCCAGAGTCGGGGCACTAGGCTTCTCTGGAAGCAGCTTGGCCACGGGTCACTAGGCAGGAGACAAACACTCCTACCTCGGCCCCCATAGGAAACTCAGCCCCCGTGACCCGGCCCCCTGCTCATCTGCTCCCAGCATTAGAGACACAGAGACCGAAAAGAAGCCATTGGGGGTCTTCAAAGCGGCAGGACCCTGTGCCCCACTCCCCAGCCCTGGCTGCACAGGCCAACTTCACTCTGTCAGGCTGGGCCAAATCTGAGAATTGTCCTTTTTCAAGGAGATGCTGTTTCACGACCTCCAGACAGAGTGGGTGGCACAGACCTGGTAATGCCTGGGGTAGCTCTATTCTTGGCTGGGGCACCAACCAGCTGCATGGGCAGGTCATTTCCCCTCGGGGAGGAGGGGTCCCTGGTTCTGGGGGCAGGAGGACCCAGCATTGGCTGGCCCCTTGCATGAACAGGAGGGAGCCCCTCCGGCTAAGTGCCCTGCTGGTTTGTGACCAGCTGCTTCACAGACGTCTGTCCCTCCAAGTGGGTCTTGTTCCCAACAGACCCCTCTTGGCTCAGCCAAAGCTTCTATTATTTACTGTCACTTCTGTTCTCAAGGGCCTGAGGGAAGGGTGGGCAGGCTCAGAGGCCAGGCACAGGACCGGCGGGCTCACCCAGGTCTCAGAGCCCCAGCGGGCCCCGGTGTGACGCCGGGGAGGGGCACCTATACACCCATCGACCTGCCTCCCTTCCTCCCTCCCTGCCCCCGTGCCCTCACGGCTCCCCTCTGGGAGCTGATGCAGCCTCTGCTGTCCCCCAGCGGTGGCACGGAGGAGCTCCGGGGGGGCTGAGGGCCGGAAGGGGCCCTCCGGTGGTATAGGAGGATGTCTGGGGGCCCTGAGATCTGGCCTTCAGCGGGGCCCAGAGTCTGAGGCCTCTCCTCCCCCCGTGGTGGCTGGAATACAGACCTGCGCCCCCTGCACCTTGCCCTGCGGTGGCTGCTCCCCCAATCCCTAGCCCTCCTCAGAGCCCCCCCTTGGCACCCACCCTCATGCCCTCAAATCGGGACAGCGCCCTCAAGGGACGCAGGGCCCGCAGCGTCCGCAGGGATTTGATGGGTCCCAGCTCCGAGTAGCCCAGCCAGTTGGCCACCAGACTGATGATGGAGACCTGCAGAGGGAGGGTGGGCTGGTCAGGGCAGGGAGGGCCTCAAGGCCAGGGCTTTCTAAGCCCCTCGGCCTCAGGGCCGCCTCTGGATTTGGCTCACATCCCCTGGGGCAGACTCACATCCACAATGAGGAAGTCGAGCCAGCACCAGGCATTGGTGAAGTACACCTTGAAGCCGTAGGCCACCCACTTGAGCAGCATCTCCAGGATGAAGACGTAGGTGAAGACCTTGTCGGCGTACTCCAGGATGGTGCGGATGACTCGCCGCTGCTCAATGTAGATGTCCTCAAAGGCCTGGGGACGCCAGCATGGCCGGGGATGGCCGGGGCAGCAACCACGTCCCCCACCCTGCCTGCTGCTGGGGCTTCCCGGGGGTCTGGCACCGGGGCCAGGCCAGGGGCAGGCTGTTGGCTTCTCCCAGACTCCCCAGGGCCCAAGGGTGCCAGATCCCTGGGGAGAAGCCCCTTAGCAGCCCTTCCCCAGGGGTGACACTCAGTCATCTGCTTGGGGACTAGCACCATGACACATCTTCAACCCTGACCGCCGCCCCCCCCCCCACAAAGCAACTCAACATTCCAAGGGCCTTCCCACTTCTGCCCTGGCTGGCACCTATCTCTGGGGGCGCACACAGAGTTGGACCCCGCCTGTCACTTTAAGAAAATGAACACTTTCTACATCATATCTTGCAACCACAAGTGAGTCCCTTTAGGATTCTCTGGGGTCCAGACTGCCCAAGCCTCGTCCCTCCCATGGTGTGGGAAGGAGGGAGCCTGGGAGGGCCTCCTTTGGGCCTGGCACCTGCCTCTGCCCACACCCATCCCCCAGGGCGGTGCTTACCAAGGCTCCGCTGCTGAGCAGGATCATGAAGACGATGAAGGTCTCGAACCAGTTGTGCTCGACAATCTTGAAGCAGGCCCTGCGGAGTGTCCACCACATCTTCCCACGGCCCTGGGAGATGTCCACGTAGAGGATAGGGCAGCGTTGCACGCAGGCTGGGGGAGGGAAGGGGCAAGGGCACCACATCACAGGACTGGGGGCTGCCTCCGGACATGCAGTCAGCGTGTGCCCACCGCCTTCCTGGGGATCGGCTGATCCCATCCCTCCCCACCTCTCCCTGGTGGACTTCATGCTGCCCAGCCCAGGCCCTGGGGGCAGCAGTGTGTCCACAGGGCTCTCTCCTGAAGGGCTGGGCTGGCCTCTCTCTGCAGATGAAGCCGAGGAGGGTAATGGTCTTAGAGCAGCCGTTCCCAAGCACTGGCCATCCCCAAGCACCGGGTCACACTCAGGGCCCTGTGGGGATTCCGCACGGCAGTCCTCAGGGGCCGGTGTGCACCCACCGCACATGCTTGAGGCTCAGGGGGTCAGGGGCTGGGAGGCATCTGGGCTCTGGCGCCCCTCCCTGGGGCTGTATCTCTCCCAGGCTGTGTCAGGGCAGGGCAGCATGTTGGGGGGCGGGGATGGGAAGTTCTGCATGCTTTCGGTGATGCACATGATCCTGAGATGTCCTCGAGGAGGCACTTGGCTGGGGCTGGGCCAGGGCTGTTGCCCCCCAAAGGCCCTGGCCTGGTCTGTCCCTTCCAGGGGCTGCTGGGCTGGGGGAGGCACCAGGTGAGGTGGTGGGGGTGCACGCACACGGGCTCGCCCTCACCCTCCGTAAAGCACTCCTCAGGCTGCTCCCCATCGGGGTTCTCTTCAGCCTGCTCCTCGGGGTCCTCCTCGGGGGGCTTATAGTCGGCAGTACTGCAGACGGATGAGTTCCCATCGAGGGGCTGCGGTGGCTTCTGCAGGGGACCACGGGGTCATGTGAGCCCTGGGTCCTCCCACCAGGTGAACCAGAGGAGGTCAGGATGGGAGAGGAGAAAGAGGGGGTGGAGCTGACCTACTCATTCATTCATCATTCGTTCATTCCCTGAGCCCTGGATTATGGAGCCAGCACTGCGGCCTTTGCAGGAGAACCACAGTGGCCAAGGCAGCTGTGCTCCTGCCCTCGCAGGGCTTCGATTTGGAGCAGGGCAGGCCGAGACCTGGGAAGGGATGTGAGGACACAGGGAGGCAGGTGAGGGCCTCAGGTGAGGGAGGAGGCTGGGGGTGGCTGAGCCGGGCTGGGGGTCCTGGGAAGCGCGGGGCGGGGGCAGCGGAGGAATAAGGGGTCTGAAGGGGCCTTGGAGGGAGCACGAAAGGGGTCAGAATGGAGCCGGGGCTGCCGTAGCCCGCAGGGGATGGCGCCACAGTGTCCTCAAGTTCTGAGCCCTCCCATGCCCAGGGGCTGCTGGGCTGAGGAGCCCGGAAGGAATGGAAAACCTTCCCCAGCAGAAGCTCCAGCCCGGGGCCAAGGAAACGCGATGGGAGTGGGGCAGGGTGGGGTAGGCTGGGGCTCTGGCCTGGCCAGGCCTCCCCCACCTCAGCTGGTGCTGTCGCAAGCCAGGTTCCTGGCCCTAGCCCCCCTCCTCAAGGGGACCCCTTCATGGCTGGAGTTGAGGTCCCTGAAGGGGAAGATGGAGAGGACAGCTTGGGGGGCAGCCTCTGGATCCAGAATGGTCACCAGAAAATTACGGAGGTCCCCTTGTGCCCAGTTGACAGAAAGGGAAACCGAGGCAGGCATTAGGTCAGCCAGGGCACCCACTAAGCCACTTGCCCTGCCTGTGTGTCCCAACTCCCACAATCCCCCTTGGAGCCCTGTTTGCCCCCCTGAGAGTCCCCAGAGCCTTGGCCCTGGGTGCTCTCCAGCCCTCCCCCACCCCCGCTCCTCATACCGAGGTTGGTGCCACATTTCCCTGGGTATTTATAGCTTGGCAGGCACTCGGCCCCCTGGTAAGTCAGCGTGACACATATCTGGGGGGAATAAGGAGTCAAGAGCTTTCAGAACAAAGTCCTTTGAGACTCCAGTGCCCAGCCAGGCCCAGGGCCGATAGGGTGGAGATGGACGGGGGCCCTGCCCTCCCTGAGGTGCTGGTCCTTCCTCTGCCAGAGCTGGAGGATGGGCTTTGGGGCTCAGAGTCCGCTCCCCTGAGAGGCTCAGGCAAGGTCCCGGCCTCAGCCTGAGCTTCCGGGGGTGACTACCAGTCCCTCTGTCACCCTTGCAGGGAAGGGGCAGGAGGAGGGGGCATCTCCCGGGTGGGTGGGTCAGGGCTCCTGCTGAGACTGCCCAGCTCTCTGCTCTCCTTGTACCCAACCCCCTTGCCCCCCCAAACCCCTCCACCTCTCAGAGTCCCCAGCCCAGACCCAGCACTTTGGCCCACACTGGGAGGTTGGGACCAGCCCCAGTGGGATAGTGGGAGCGACTTCAAGTTCAGAGGCGGGTTAAAGGAGGCCTCTTGGGTCCCCACCCTGGAGCTAAGGTGCCACGGGTAGGAACATCCTGTCCAAGAGCACCACCTGCTGGTGAGCAGGAACCCAGGTGGAGGTGCGGAGCCAGAGCATAGGGACACTGGGGAAGGACAGGCAGGGCCCGTCAGAATAGTGATTGTCAGCCACCATGCCCAGAGAGCCTTGTGTGTGCTTATACACAGCATCTCACCTAAAGCTCGTGACCATGCTCTGAGGTAGGTGCCATTACCCCAATTTTACAGATGGAGAAACTGAGTCTCAGAGAGCATTTGTGACTTCTCTAGGGTCACGCAAAAGTTTGAAGCCATGTCTATGTGACCCCTGGCCCCCTCAAGCCAGGTCCTGTGATGGGCTTACCTGGCCATCCTCAGGCTCTGAGAAAGTGTCGGTCTCCTCCTCCGTTGGCATCTCCAGGTCGGACTCCTCGGAGGCAATGGGCACGTGAATGGTCAGGTAGGGGTTGTTGATGAAGTTGAGGTGGTCCAGCTCGATGCTGGGGGGAGGGCCGTCAACCAGGCCCACATGGTTCAGGATGTGATTGTCCTTCTTCAGGTCCTTGTCGCCCTCATCGGGTGGCGGCTCCTTCTTCTCGTCCTCTGGGGCACTCTCCCCGGCCTCCCCGGGCTCCCCGGGCTCCCCGAGGCTGAGCATGATTTCCTTGGGGCTCAGGATCTTGCCATGCAGCAGTCCCAGGAGAAAGGCTTTGGCAAAGCCAATGCCCCACTTGATGCGCCCAATGGCGATCTGCAGGTTGTTCATCTCGCCGTCCTCATCTGAGGTGGCCAGGCTGTCGGCGCTGAAGGAGCTCAACAGCAGGGCCAAGAAGAGGTTCAGGACCTGGGAAGCAGGGGTTGGGAGGAACCTCAGCTCAGCCTCGGGGGCCCCCCCAAGGGTGCCACCTTCAGCCAGCACCAGGGGCCTCAGGCCTCCAGATCAGACCTACCACGTGTGGGGCATTTGAAAGGATATCACCTACTGGAATCCTCACAACTGCTCGAAGAGGTGAGGAGTGTTACTATCACCCCCACTTTGCAGAAAAAGAAGTAGAGCCTTAGGCACATGATAAGAGTCTGCAAGACCATGGCAGAGGCAGGGTTTGGGGAGGCCCACTGGGTGCCAGGGGCTCTTTCCAGGACTCTGTCTTCCACCTCCACTGTTGGGGAAGGCAGAACAAAGAACAGGGCTCTCGTCTTTGAGTTTCCAGGACTTATTGGGACCCTGAATCAGCTGAGCCTTCTTTTCCTGTCTGTTAATAGAGCCAGTGCTCCCCCGTGCTCAGATGCATGTACCCTATTGCTCTGGGAAGGGCATACCCTACTGCTATTCACCCCCTGTTCTCTCCCTGCGATTCCCTGCGCCACCTGGTTTTCTTCCCATTTCCCTACTGAAAGACTTAGGAGGCTACTGGTCTACCCCTCCAGTCTCCAGCCTTATTTTCCAGAGGCAGACATTTGCTGAGCCTCTCCCATTGTGGTGTCAGGGAGCTCCAACCTAGTAGAGACAGACATTTGATCAGATACACTGCAGTGGGTTTGCATGGCAGTAGAGACTGGGGTGCACAGGCTTTGAAACCATGCTGCCCGGCCTTGAACCCCAGTTTACTAGCGATGTGTCCTGAGGCAAATCATATTGCTGCTCTGTGCCTCAGTTTCCTCATGGGTATAATGGGGATGATTCCAGTACCCACCTCCTTGCATTGTTGTGAGGATTAAAAGATCAACACACAGGAGGCACTCAAAACATGTTGGCCATTTTGTGTGCAAGGAGAGAAGGTACGAGGTACAGGAAAGAGTACGATTAACTCTGAGACCAGCTCAGCATTTTATTAATAAGGAAACTGAGTCCCAGAGAGGTAGAGGGACGTGCCCCATGACATCCAGCACAATCGGGACTAGAATCCAGGTGTCCAGTCATTGCATAACTTTAGAGGACATCATTCATTTCGACTACAGTGTGAATGGCAGCCCCAGCGGTTGCACAGTACGGTGGCTGTACCTTCCACCAGGGAACGAGGAGGAAGGTGAAGCCCAGCTGGGGTGAGGGGTCCTGGCTCCTGTCAGCCAGAGGCAGGGCTGGGTCTTACTCTGGGGACCTTGGGACAGGGCTGGGTGCACGAGTGGACATGAAGGAGTAGGGGAGCCTATACGTGTCCACCTTTGACCAACTTCTCTATGTGCCTCTCATGGCCTGGCTTCTACCAGGGGTCCTCCAAGGTCTTTTTACCATCGCCTTACCTACCATGTTAGCATATGTCTTTAAAGTGTGTGTGTATCTATATATACACACTGGGGGAGAAGGTGCTGGGGGGATTCCTCCCCATCTGTCTGCCCCCTAGCTACTTTTCTACCTTTGCCCCCAACCAACATTTATTGGTCTTTCTTTCCCTTTGTCGGGGGTGGCGGGGGGGGGAGAGGCATCCAGTTGCCAGAAACACATCTGAGATGGGAATTAGCTGCTCTCTGGGTCAGCAGGGTTTGCACACGGCTCCTGCCTGGGACAGAAATAGCTGCCCCAGGCAAGGCGCGTAGGGAGGAGGCCTGGAGGGAAGGGGGATGGACATCATGTTCCCCCAGGGGCTCTGAGGGGTGGGTTACCTACGCCCTTGTCATTTCCTCTTCTTCGTAGTAACCCAGGGGAAGTGCCCAAGTGTCACATGCAGGGGACATGGGGCCCCACACTCCTTGGCAGGATGCCTCAGTTCCCTCTGGCAGACACCAGCTTCCGTGAGGCCTGGGCTGAGGGGGGGGCAGTGGGCGGGGACAGTGCCCAAGGAGCTGCCGGTGCCACCTCCCCGGGCTGCTCCAGTCCTTCTGAGCAAAGCGAGAGAGCAGAGAGGCAAAGCTGGGCTGGGAAGGAGTAGCAGTGGTGTGCGTGTGTGTGCGCACGCGTGCGTGCGTGTGTGTGGGGAGTGACACGCATGTGTGACAGGCACACAGAGGCAGTGGAGAGGTTCCAGACTCTGGAGCCAGACTGCTTGGGTTCCAATCCTGTGCAGGTTACTAGCTTCCCACCCTGAGCCTTTGCTTCCTCATCTACAAACCAGAGAAATAACAGCATGTCGCAGTCGGGCGGTGGTAAGCATTGGGAGATAGATACACAGAAAGCACTCAGAATGCTGCACAGAGAGGTCAACTGTCGCTGTCGTTACTGCCCCTGTTGACACCGTCATTCTCAGCCCTGCTGCTATTACTGATGCTACTGGCGTGACGCAGACCCAGGTTCTAGTCCGGGCTCAGTCTCACACTCGCTGTGTGGTTCCAGGCAGTGGCTCCTCGGAGCACGGCGCGGACCTGACCTCCCTCCCAGGGTTGGGAGAGCATTAGGGATAATGCATGTAAAGCCCTTTGCGCAGGAACAGGCGCAGGGCAGGAGCCCAGTCCTTGGGGAGGGTTGGGTGACACCTAAGGTGAGGACCTGAACCGTCACTTTCCACCCCACCCCCTGGCCCCAGCCTTGTAGATCAAGTGCTTTGCTGAGCGCTCAGACCACACGCTGAAGGGGGTCACCACCATTACCATCCCCATTTTCCGCATGAGAAAAATTGAGGCCAGAGAGAGGTTAAATAACGTCTCAAGTTTTCCTGGTAAGTGGCAAAAGAGGGGCTTGCAATGCTTTTGAGTTTACACACGTACAGACGGAAACCCACTGCAGACCTTTATAGTCATGCTGGGCCCTTAAACTTACCTTCTACTCAGAGCTACCCACCCACCCCAAACCCGCCCCAATGTTCTGCTGGGGCATCTTCTCTCTCTCTCCCCAGGCCCCAGTCCCTCTCCCAGGGACAGCCAGCCGGGGTTCTCCTGCCTAGCTGTCCCTGGGGGCTCAGGACCTCATCCCAGGGTCTCTTCCTCAGTGGAAGTGACACCCCTCCCCTCCAGCCGACTCCTACCCCCAGCCGGAGCTCAGCGATATCTGAGAAGCGCTGATCCAGCAGCCTAAGGATTCCACCGGCCTTTGCGGAACGTGGGGACGTGCGTCTTCCCACCACCCCACCCCCCCCCCGTTGCCCAGGGCAGCGTCAGCCACAGCAGGGGGCAGCCAGGCACAGGGCTCCTGGCAGAAGTGCCGCCCACCCTGAGCAGGGCAGGAGTTGTGGGCATCAGGATGTGGAGACATGCCACCCCGGGCCCCAGCCACAGAAATGCTGGTCAGCATGATGGCGGCCTGCACCCCTGCTCCTCATGGGCCCCCCTGCGGCTCCTCCCCTACACCAGCCCCACAGGGAAGCCCTGAGCCACAGAAAGTGGCAGGATGAAGGCAGTTTATGCCATCTCTGGATTCTCCCCTCTCCTGGGGCCCAATTCCACGAATGGAGGAGGGTGAGAGGGTGAGAGAGAGACAGGAGGCCGGGGAGTTCTGATGCCAACCCCGCGTGCCGCCTTCCCGCACCCAGCTGACCACAGAGCAGTCACTTGTTCAAGGTCACACAGATGACAACAGAGCTGGGCCTGGAGCGTGGGTCTGTCTGACTCCAGTTATCATGTTACTTTGCCCCAAACACTAGGTTTCAACAGTACTACTCACAGCGTCGTCTCTGGACCAGCGACAGCTGTGTTGGTTAGAAAAGCAGAGTCCCAGGCCCTAGCCCCAAGCTGCTGAATCAGACTCTGTGGACGTGGGGCCAGGAATCTATCTGGGTTTTAAGAAACCCCCAGGTGCTTCTTAAGCAGGTTAAAATTGGAGAGACCCTGGGTTAAACCATATAAAATTGCCCTTTTGGGTGGGGGAAGTAGAATACGTTACAGTATCAGTGATTTCATCCAGTTTAACCACATGGGGCAAAGGCCCCTGAAGGACAGCCCAATTTAAAGGACATAACTGAATGCACATGTTTCGGACGCTTGGGTTTCCTGGCGGTGGGGGCAGGGGCGGGGGGAGCCACCCAGCCGGCCTAACTCACCACTAGGTTGCCGATGACCATGACCATGAGGAAGACCGTGAGGCACATGGCCTGGCCGGCCACCTCCATGCAGTCCCACATGGTCTCGATCCACTCCCCGCACAGGATGCGGAAGACGATGAGGAAGGAGTGGAAGAAGTCGTGCATGTGCCAGCGGGGCAGGCTGCAGTCGGCCGCGATCTTGCACACACACTCCTTGTAGCTCTTGCCAAACAGCTGCATGCCCACGACGGCGAATATGAACACGATGATGGCCAGCACCAGCGTCAGGTTGCCCAGCGCGCCCACCGAGTTGCCAATGATCTTGATGAGCATGTTCAGCGTCGGCCACGACTTGGCCAGCTTGAAGACCCGCAGCTGCGGGGCAGGGGGAGGGTAGGGGCCAAGCAGGGTCCAATGAGGCCCAGCCTCCCCCTCCCACCACCCGGTCCCACCTGAGGGAGCCCCATCCTTAGGAGAAAGAACTCTCCAGAACAACTCAAATCCCCGCCCCATGAGTGATCTGAGGCCTCAGGCTGCCTCTCTGTTAAATGGGAATACTCCTATCTGACTACCTCATCCTCTTTCTGTGTTCAAAAGAAATAGAGTCCTTATCTCTTAAAGATGTTTTTTTTTACAAGTGACATTATATGTCAGGATTTGCTTTAACATGCTCCCCCCATAAAAAGTAGGGGACAGATGGAATAAGAACTACAGAATGTTGACGGCTGTTGGAGTGGGTGATAGGTACACAGAGGTTCAGTATACTTTAAATGTTTGTGGATGAATGACAGGTCCCATAATAAAGTTTAAAAAAAAAAAGTGTTCCTACGGGGTGGTGGAAAGGCTACTAAACCGGACTCCTGATTCCACTACTAATGAGCTTCCTGAGCCCCAGCCTTCAGGTCTGCAATATGGTGCCTTCTCCACTGTCACCCAAGGTCACTAAGGAGTCAAGCCCAAATGTCAGCTCCCAGGGCTCTCATTTTGGCCCCCAGCCGCCCTATGTGATAAGGGAGGGGGCTCTCTTCCTCCCCATTTCCAGTAAGGAAGGTTCTGAGTGGTGGAGTGGCATGCACAAGTGGCTTCCTGGGGATCTCTCCTCCCATCTTCCTGCGTACCCCCCGCCGCCCCTCCTCAGCCTGGCCCCTGGGCCTCACGCACCAGTCGGAAGGAGCGGAGCACGGACAGCCCTTGCACGTTGGCCAGGCCCAGTTCCACCAGGCTGAGGGTGACGATGATACTGTCGAAGATGTTCCAGCCCTGCTGGAAGTACTCGTAGGGGTCCATGGCGATGAGCTTCAGTACCATCTCTGCTGTGAAGATGCCAGTGAAGACCTGCGGGGTAGGGGGTGCCCCACATCCCAGAGCCTCAGGGAGTGCAGGGCCTTGGGAGTCACCCCCCCAACCCCCACCTCCTGGCAGAGCCCTGAGCGGGGGCAGGCACTGGTACCCGTGGCCCACACATGTGCGTGCGTGAGTGGAATGGCCCTGCCCCAGGGCACAGTGGGTACCACCCTGAGGGAGGCCTGAACCCATCCGCTTCTGGCCTTGTGCCCATGGGCCAGTCATTCACTTCTTGGGGGCCTCCCCCCAGTCATAATATTTAGCACTCATACAGCACTTTGCGGTTCACGTGATGACCTCACTGGAATGCCAATTTCTACGTACTTGTCCCAGAGATGAGAACGTTGAGACTCTGAGAGTAAGTGGCAAGTGCTTGCTCACGCCACCCATATGGGAATGAGTCAGACCTCAAAGCCAGGTCTTGGGCTGCTTAATTCAGTCTTCCTGTCTCTACACCCTACCCTCTCTACCCTGACTGGCAAAACTCAGCAAACCTTGGTGGACTCAGAAATCTAGGGTAGGGGCCAAAAGGGGGCAAGGTCAGGGATCCAGGAGAAGGCCAGAGCTGCCCTCCACAAACCGGGCGCAGGGGTGTAAGGGCTTCCTAGCCTCTGAAAGCTCCCTGGCCACAGCCCCCCCTCCTGCCGGGCACCAGCTGCCCTGGTCCACAGCCTGCCCGGGCACATGCCGAACCCCGCCCAGGAGCGGTCCCTGGCCATAGCAGGTGCCCAGACGGCAGCAGAGTGAGGGCAGGGGGTGGGCAGGTGGTGGGCAGGTGGCAGGCTGGGCCCATCACGCACAGCCCAGCAAGTGCACTGTGAGTCCAGAGCACATGCTTGCCCCTCCAACCCAGCCTGGCATGGCTGCCTTAGACATCTCCATGGGATAGAAGTGCCTGCCTCACAGGCTGGGAGTCCAGGGTCTGATGCCCACGCCACCCATATCGTCCACATCCTGCCTCAGGCCCCCAAATCTTATTCTCCTTGGGCTCTCCTCACCCTCAGGGTGGTAGGGGGAGCATCTGGCCCATTTGCCATCTGGAAACATTTCTCAGGGAATGGGGAAGGGCAGGGCAGGGCAGGGCTGGAGGATGAGGCGGCTTTTTCCCTTTGTCAGGCTCTGCGGGGCTGGAAACGAGGTGATAATGCTCCTAATGGGCAGGGATAAGCAGGCGGATCAGTGCATGTCAACAATAGCCGGGCAGGAAAGGCCGCCACCCAGAGCTGGCCTGGCCACGCTGGAGAAATGGTAGTGGGCAGGGCGCTGGGGTTGGGGGACTATGCCAGGGGGCCTCCTGGGCCTGGGTGCCCAGGGCTCTATGCCCCCACTTTCAGGTCCGTTGGTCCCTCTTAGGTCCACATCAACCTCTGAAAGTGGAGACCTGTCACCCATGCCCCCACTCCCCCACCTCTGCCTCCAGCGCATGGCCTGGACCCCAGACCCCCTGAGTCCTAATTTTAAAATGTCTAGCACCTCATTCCCATTCTCTCTGCCTCCAAATACCCTAAAACCCAAACTCCACATCCCATGGGTCACCCCATGTACCTTACCTCCCTTATATCTCAACTCCTGCCCCCTCTATACTGGGAGAGAATAAGCCCAGCTTGTCTCCATATGCCCCCCAATAGTGCCCCGTATTTCTGCACAGCCCAGATGGCCCTGTAGGGCCTTGTGGCCCCTCTCCTGTCCTGCCTGGGAGTGACACCTCTCCCTGTCCCCTCCCTACCAGGTTGCCCACGGTGAGCACGTTGTCAAAGTGCTCTGTCATGGGGTAATGCTCCATGGCCATGAAGAGGGTGTTGAGCACAATGCAGATGGTAATGCCCAAGTCCACGAAGGGGTCCATGACAATCAGGTGGATGATGTTCTTGAACTTCACCCATGGGGTGCAGCAGTTCCATATGAGCACTTTGTGGGCACACTTGTACCACCACGGTGGGCACTTCTGGTGGGCCTCTTCCAGCTCTGGGAGTAGGGTAGAAACACACCTGCTGAGGACCCCCACCCCCACCCCAAGTGTCCTCCATCCCTGACCCAGATCTTAGGTCCCACCTTCCAGGCCTGCCGCTCGAGCTCCACATCTCAAACCAATCCCCTCGCCAAGCCTACTTCAAGCCCCCTCTGGGGGGTGGGGGGGTGTCACCCTCAAGACCTGTCCCTGGAGGCCCCACCCACATGCCCCACCCACCCCCAGTGTCCCGCCCCCAAAGCCCCGCCTATTAATGCTCCCACCCTCAAACCGCCACCCCCTCGGCCAGCCCTACCTGGAATCCCTTCTCTTAATGCCCCACCTCAGGCTGGACCTTCTTGGCACACCTCACAAAGCCCGCCCCTCAGTGACTCCCACCCTCTGCCCGTGGCCCCGGGGCTGTGATCCTGGCACGGGAGACCCCTGATCTCTGGCTGGGCCCAAGGGTCCGGCAGGGAGAGGTGGGAGGCCACCACGGAGGGTTGGGCCCCGTTCCACTTGCTTCTGGCCAGTGCCATTCAGAGCGCACCAAGGACCCCCCTGAGGCCTCTCCCTCCCACTGCCAGCAAAGCTGACCCCTCCACACTGTCCCCAGCCCGTCCATCCTTTCCCACCAGAGCGGCTTCCTGGAAACATCGCCTCTTCTTGCCATCCCAGCTCTAGAGCCCTGGGGCTCTGTCAGGCCCGTGGATAAAGCTGCCCTTCTTGCTGGCCTGTGGGAGTCCGCAGCCTTGGCGTGATCTTATTTCATTACCGCCAGAAATTTATGAGACAAGTGCTATCAGTGCCCCCCATTTCATAGATGAGGAGAGAGTCAGGGGCAGTCCCATGGAGACCTGGGTTCGAGTGCAGGATTGGGACACCCCAGGAAATCAGCCTATTGGACCTCGCAAAGGCTGCAGATTCTAGTCTGATAGTAACAGCCCCACCCCCAAGCTGGTGACCCCCAAGTCACTGCAGGTGAGTCAAACAATGTCTGACACCCCAAAACTTCTCACAACCATCTCAGCCAGGGCAGCGTTGGGTGACCTCCTCGGCCAGTGACACCGAGCACCCCCTGCAGCATTCTCTGGCAGGGCACAGACCCCCTGGATGCCTGTCATATGAGGTGGGATGAGAAGGTGTCCTCTAGAGGTCTCCAAAGTCCTCTAGGCCCTCCCAGTCCTTCCTGGCACAAGGAAGGGGAGGGGGACCTAAGAAGGGGACCAGATCTCTTCCATGTCAGATTTCCTTCTTCCTTTGCTTCCTCCTCCCCTTCTCCCCCCCGCTCCTATTTCCCTCCCTCCCCCTTTCCTCTCATCCATCCACACACCCATGTCTCTTCCCATTCACCGATCTTTCAGCCCATCCATCCATCCGTCCATCCATCCGTCCATCCATCCGTCCAGCCATCCGTCCAGCCATCCGTGCAGCCATCCGTGCAGCCATCCATCTAGCCATCCCTGTTTTTGTCTGTCCCCCCTGTCCTTGTTACCTTGTCGTGTCCTTTCCCTGGCACTTGTAGGGCAGTATGGGGATTTGGGGGAATCTGGGACTCTACCTGGGCAGAGTTTGACCTTTGACCTCTAACTTCTGCCCAGAAGACATTTGAGGAGGATTTCCAGTTTCCGGAATACTGGGCCTTCCTGGTTAGTATGATCCTCCTGTCCTTCCTCATTGCCTTGGCAGCCCCTGAGGTCCTCCCCCGGAAGCCCCCAGTTCCCATAGCAGCCTGGCCTTGCAGCCAGAACTGGGCAGGGCTAAGCCAGGATTATATTTATCACGGCCATTTCTTTGATACCTATATTAAGTTACTGTCTTTCCGAAGCTGGGCCCAGCCAGTCCCCACCTGCCCGCCCCCCGCCCAGGAGCTCGAGTGTCCTGATGGGCAGGACAAGCAGAGTGGGATGTCCAGAGGGGTGTCAAGCACTCACCTTCCATAGCATCTGAGATACCACTGTCTGCACTGCAGCTCTGCCGGGGGGGCCCCTTCTCCCCCAGCGACGTGTCTAGGCTGCCGTTGCAGTCCTTGCCGTGGGCTGGGTCCCCATCTGCCTCCCCGCCTTCCAGAGCCTGGGCAGGCTTGGCCTGTGGATCAGCAAGGGTGGTGGGCACGGAGTCCATCTCGGAGCCCGGTGGATGGACTAATGGACTCTCAGAGCTTCTTGCCAAGTCCTGAGCCTGGTGTGGTTTGGGGAGCGACCTCGGGGGTGATGGGATTGACAGGGTAGGGACCAAAGTGACTGAAGACCCTCATCCCTGAAGACCCACAGCTCTCGGAAGCCTTGACTGACCCCACACTTCAGGAGGTGGTGAGGAAATGGGCGGCTGCACGCCGGGGCCTCCCCAGGACCCACCTCTCCCTCAGCATGGGCCCATTATCCCGCCCAGAAAGAATCACGAGACCATAGATATTTGAGCTGGAAGGTCACTTCAGGTTTAACTACTCCAGATGCCTTGTTGTTTATAGGGACACTGAGGCACAGACTTGCGGATTACTCTTTCTACTGCCTGGATGCCTCCCATCCCCGCAAAGCCCCCAGCCTGGGGCCTTGTGCTCACCTTGCCTTGCAGCCCCTACCCCATGCCTCTCCCTCACCCTCAGCCTGCCCAGGAGAACCCAGGCTGAGGGCCTCCTCTCCCTGAGTCCAGACCTTCCCCAGCTCCTCCTGCTGCTTTTTGAATTTCTCCAGCATCTGCTGAAACTCTTCTTCTTTCTCCTGATCTTCGGCCAGGGTGGCCTCGTTCTGCTCTGCGTACGCCATGGCCACCACCGCCAGGATCAGGTTAATGAGGTAGAAGGAGCCCAGGAAAATGATGACCACGAAGAAGATCATGTAGGTCTTGCCAGCAGCTCGAAGGGTCTGGGAGGAAGGGGAGAGGGAGAGGGAGCGTCCCATAGCCCCCTGCCTGCTTTCACCCACCACCCCTTTCCACACACCCGCTGCCCAGATAGGTAGACAGGGAGGGTCGCTCACGGAGCCTGGCGATTTGAGGACCTTGAGGCAGGGCGTAGCCATCCTTGGCAGGCTAAGCCACATTCTGGGGAGCTTCAAAATATACACTTGGGACCCAGACTTTCCTGGTCTCCTGGCTCAGAGAGCCTTGAGGACCTGAGACAGACATCTTGAGATCAGAGAGCCAGGATAAAAAAAAGGGGGTGGTGAACACGGGCTTTGGGGTCAACTTGAATCCTTCCGTTGCTACCGTGCCTGGCATCTAATAAGACTTCAACAAATAATAGTTGCCATTATTATTATTATCATTAATATCATCAGTATTAGAAACATTACCAGGGATCAGAAGGCACTGCGGCTCCAGACACAACCCGCCTACCATGCAAACAGTAGAAGCGAAATAATTGTGTAGCGACAGGGTTGAATTTCTAAGCTACCCTATTGGTTTCTGTGAGGCCTGGGGGTTCTGTGCCAGGCCCAGATCTCAGCGCTTAAGGCGAAGGTGGCGAAGGAAGAGAAGGCTGTGGTCAGATGTGGGCAGGTCCCCAGTGTCAGAGGCCTCTGAGGAGCTGTCTGCAGGGGCGCTGAGGGGGGTCTCAGGGAGGAGGGGGCCTTGTTACAGGTCCGGCCACGCCCTGAGGAGGCTGTGGGGCTGGGGCAAGGTGGTGCTGGGCCTTCGAGCAGGGCGGGGGCAGTCGTACCAGCTGGAAGAGGTTCTCCCAGTAGTCCTGGGTCATGAGGCGGAAGAGGGCCAGGAAGGCCCAGCTGAACGTGTCGTAGCTGGTATAGCCGTAGTTGGGGTTCCGCCCAGCCTTGATACACTCGTAACCCTCAGGGCAGTGCCTGTGGATAAAACAGGCTGCTGGCTTTAGGGAGGGAAGAGAACGCCAGCCGAGGAAAAGACGGGGGGAATCCCAAGAGGAAAAATCCTATAGTTCTGTCCACGTCCCCCAAACAGGGAAGGGTTCCATTCACGTCCGCGGGTTTTCCTTACATTCCCCTCCACCCCACGTCCTTGTCCCTAATCAGCTCCCGTCTCCTGACACCCCTGGGACACCTCTTCCCAGTCCCCCATATCACTCACCCAGCATCGCTGCTGTTCCCACAGAGCAGGGCGTCATTGGCACCCTCCAGGAAATAGAAGTTCCCTTTGGGAGTCAGAGGCCACAAAGGAGACATGTCACACACGTGGACACACTGTGGACACTCGCACCCACTGCACGCCTGGGGGCACATCTGTGTGCACCACATACACCAAATGGAGGCTCTCTGGCTGCCCCTGCCCCTCCTTTAAGGTCTCTGGGTAGATGCACTCCAGGGAGCTCAACCGCCTCCGGTGTGTGGCTGGGCGGTCGGGACGCAGCAGGGGCACAGAACCGGCCGGACGGTGTGTGCGCACACCTGCGTGGGACACCCAACTGAGGGGTGAGCCAGTCGGGGGAGAGCTGGCATCCAGGGGCCAGGCTGAAGAAGGGGTACCTTTTCCTAATTCGCCAGAAGGCCTTGTATGAACTGTGGCTGTGTGAAAACGTGTGGCTTGTGTGCGTGGTTGTGGAGTATGGGGTGTGACTAGGCGAGTCCGTGGGTAGCAGGTGGTGGCCCTGCCAGGGTGCCAGGAAGTCATGTTATGGGGGAAAATAAGGAATGTGTCGGTTAGGGAATGGGGACAATGGGCCGCTGCTTTTCATAGGGAAAGCTGGAGGATTTTCAAAGCCATGGGGCATTCATTGGCACGCTCACCCTTTGAGAAAGGCATTTTTTTTTTTTAAAGATTTTATTTGTTTTTTTGAGAAAGAGAGAGCGTGCATGGGAGCATGCACGAGCAGAGGGGAGGGGGAGGGAGAGAGGGGCAGACAGAGAGGTAGAAGCGGACTCTCTGCTGAGCAGGGTGCCCCATGCGGGACTCGATCCCAGGACCCTGGGATCCTGACCTGAGCTGAAGACAGATGCTTCACCGACTGAGCCACCCAGGCGCCTGAGAAAGGCACTGTTGCCTCAGTTTTAGAGGTGAGGGTTCTGAGGGTTAGGGAGACCAAGTGACTTGTCAGAGTTTCCCCAAGCTGGTAAGCGATGGATTTACGCTTCGGTGCCCGCTGCTGCTTATCCCACGCGAGGGGCTGCCCTAGAGGCTGGGACAGATCCCCCCCCGCCCCCCGCCGGCCTCCCCAGCCTGCGCCCTTACCTTCGTCACTGATGTAGGCATCCCAGTCAAAGGTCGAGTTGCTGGCCCAGCTCTCATGGCTGTTACCCGTGTCGTTGCTGTTCCACGTGTCGTTGCCGTTCCACGTGTCATTGCTGTTCCACGTGTCATTGCCGTACCACGTGTCGTTGGCGTACCACGTGGTGTTGGTGTCATTGAAGGGCGGGGGCCAGCGCACGCACTTCTGCCGCAGGTTTCCCATGAAGAGCTGCAGCCCCACCAGCGCAAAGACACTCAGGCAGAAGACGGTGAGGATCATCACGTCCGACAGCTTTTTCACGGACTGGATCAGGGCCCCCACAATCGTCTTCAGCCCTGACCAGAGGGAGGGTGAGGGTAGGGGATGCGCAGGGTGAGAGCTCCCTCTCCTATCCCCTCAAGCCTTTGCCTACACATCGTCAAGGCTTGACGTACGAGGGGCACCACTTCCCTGAAGCCTCCCCAAATGAGCCCACCCCTCTCCCATCTCATCCTTGATGTGGAGCCTTTGAATGGCCACAGAATCTTGGCCACTAGAAGAATGCACTATAAGGACTTTCCAGGTTGTTGCCTGACTTGTAGAGCAACACACAGGCCCACGGTGGAGTTGAATGTCACCAGGTCAACACTCCCAAACTGTGGTTCTACACAAAACTGATCTCCCCAGCTGTGCCCTTAAAAGAAGGGGTTCGATAAATGTTTGGGAAAGGCTCAGTTCTAGATTCCACTCTTGGAGCATGACTGTAGATTAGCCTATCAAAGGCTCTGACAAGTCCTGCAGAAACAAACACACACTTTAATACCACATTTTCTTAACTTACTTGACAACAGAACCCTTTTTCTTATAATGCCTATTAACACCCAAGGAACAGCTCCTCTAGACTGAGCTGGAGATCTTATTGCAACCTGCCCCTTTGGACAGACAAAGGCATAGAAACTCTTACAGACTTCCAGGGATGGATTCCCATCATTTATGGAAGAGCCATAACTTCTTCTTTGGGCCTAATCAGAGTGTCTCTCACTTCCATATCAGTTCATTTCCTTTCCTTTTTTTTTTTTTTTAAGGTTTTATTTATTTATTTGACAGATAGAGACATAGTAAGAGAGGGAACACAAGCGGGGGGAGTGGTAGAGGGAGAAGCAGGCTTCCCGCCGAGCAGGGAGCCCAATGTGGGGCTCAATCCCAAGACCCTGGGACCATGACCTGAGCCGAAGGCAGACACTGAACTGACAGAGCCACCCAGTCTCCCCAGTTCATTTCCTTTTCTCATCCTGATGTGGAAAACAGGGGCTCAGCAGCTGCCTTATCAAAACCCTCCAAGCTGGAAGGATGCTGGAAGCACGGTGTTGAGGACCGTAGCCTTCACTCGGTGGCCAGAGAGCAGTGTGGCCTTCGGAAAGCACTTCCCCTCCCAGGGCCTGTCAGGGTCTCACCTTCCTCAGCCACAGTTTGAGGGCATTGGACTAGGGGAAACTTATGGTACTTTCTAGCACTCAGACCTAATTCTCCTCCTCCCAGGGTCCGTCTATTTTCAGACCATCTTCCTTTCCTTTCGTGAACCTTGTCCGGTTTCTCCACGTGCTTTTTTGAGGATCTGGGTTTTCAGGATTCTATTTATTTCATGCTTCTTGATGCATTACTTTGGGATTGCCCTGGCCTGATTGCTCAGTGGGTATGTGGCATGTTCCTTATTGAGCCCTCAGGGCTGGCACGTTCCATCGCTCATTCCCTTCGTCTCTCTCGGGGGGAGTTCTCTGCTCTGCCCAGTCTGCTCATTTTATTTAACACACATCCATGCACATTCAATCCTCGTAACACCCCAATGAGTGGGACTATTATGCACATTTTATAGAGGAGGAAACTGAGTCATAGGCAGGTTGAACCACTTGCCCGAAGTCCAAGTTAGGAAGTGGTGGAGATGAGACTTGAGCTCAAGAAGTCTGGCTCCGAGTCTGTGCTCTAACCGCCTTGCTGTGCTGCCTCTCAGACGCCCAGCCTCCAGCCTCCAGCCCCTGCTCCTCCCTGGCCATGGGGCCCCCCCAACTGTGTCCAGGTTTTGGTGTGAGAGTGTTGTGACTCTGGGTCAGGCTCCTGGACCTGAGTGTCAGGTTCCAGGCCTGGGCACTGGTGGGGGGAGGCCTGCTGCCTCAGGCAGAGGGTCCCTGCACCTTCCCAGTACCTGGGATGACCGTGATGGTTTTCAGGGCCCGCAGCACCCGGAAGGTTCTCAGGGCTGAGATGTTGCCCAAGTCCACAAACTCCGTCAGGTACCTGGACAGGGGGGTTGGGGTGAAGGCTGTGTCAGAGTCGGGAGTGGATGTGAGGGCAGAAATCACAGCTTCTCTAGGCCCGGAATGAGGATTGCTGAGGAATCCTTGTGGTTGGGGTTACCACAGGGGTTGGGGGGGAAGGTCAGGTCAGATACCCCAAGGTTCCTCTTGGGTCCTGAGAGCTGGGGAAGACAGTGCAGGAGTTTTGCTGGGCGTGGGGGCGGCAAGGGTAGCCCAGCTCTCCCAGTGCGTGAGGCCTGTGGGATTGGGGCCCAGCACTGCCGCCTGTGGTTGCACAGAGAGTGTGGAGGCTCATGGAGGGGCCATCAGGAGAGCCTCCCCGCCAGACCCCAGAAATGGCAGCTCCCGGGACCAGGTAGCTCACCGCACACCTGCCCGTCACCCCTGCAGTCCGCCCCTCCCAGAGGGTCAGCCCACTCAGCTGCCCTCTTTGAGGCCTGGCCCCCTCCCCTCACCCTCCTCCACCTCGGGATGCCCTCCAGGCCCTGCTCACGCCATGGTGATGACACTGAAGTCCAGCCAGTTCCAGGGGTCCCGGAGGAATGTGAAGTTGTCAATGCAGAAGCCCCGGGCCAGCATCTTGATGAGGGACTCAAAGGTATAGATCCCCGTGAATGTGTACCTGGTCGGGAGAGTGTGCCCAGGGCCAGGGGTGGTGAGGATGGGCCTCCCAGGAGGGAGGTCACAACAGTGAAATATGCCGCCCCGGGGGGTTGAGGATATTGGTGAGAGTGACAGTGTGCACCACCCTGGAGGCTTATGGTGTTGATGGGGGGGACAGTTGCAGTGTGTGTCTTCCTGGAAGACAAGAGCAGTGCCACTTGGGGCATCCTCGGGGTGCAGACCCCTGGGGTGGGCTATGTCCCAGACCGGGGCAGGGTGGCGGGAGGGGGCCTCCGAGGAGGAGGAGACTTACTCCACGTGCTTGGACCAGGAAGGCGGGTTGCTCATGGTCATGAACACACAGTTGGTCAGGATGGTGATCATGATGAACATGCTGAACAGCGTCAGGGGGAAGGTCAAGGAAAGTGAGGGAGCAGGTGGGGAGGAGAGGTAGGCGGAGGGCCTCCTCGCCTACAGCACCTGGCTTTGTCTGCCCCGAACCCCTTCTTGCCCCTGCACTCGCCCCACTTGGCCAGGATATGAGTGGATGAGCACTTTGATGGCACCGCGTCTGATGATGCTGAAGGGGCTCAGCATGTAGAGGGCAGGCGTAGCAGAGAAGCGGAAGATGGCCTTGCCCTTGTTAAGGACGATGAAGGTCTGTGGCAGAGAGAGTGCTGTGAGGTCTAGGGACAGGCAGACAGACGGACGATGGACAGGCAGGGAAAAGAAACCCTACTGGGCCCAGACCTTCTTGTCGCTGTAATAGGGGTCCAGGTCCTCCAGGGGGATGCCAATGACCTCCGGTGGGGGGTCCCCGTAGATGAGGGGCAGGTTCTTGCCGGCCTCCAGGTCGCTGCGCGGCTTTCTTTCAGGATCCTCGATCTCCATCTGCTTGTTCCGCTGCTGCCGGGCCTCCTCCTCCTGCACCCGCCGCTCTATGGCTGCCAGGGACTCCCGGGTGAAGGGGCGCAGGCTCTCAGGGCCCAGAGGCACCAGGGAGGGCAGAGATGAGCTGGCCATTCTCGCATCCTGGGCTCGGCGGCTGGGAGGGTGGCGGGTCTCCGGGGCGGCTGCAGTGTGCCGCCCCCCGGGTGCTGGGCGGCTGCCCCGCCCTGGGCCTGCTGTCCGCTACTCACCTCCTGCCTGCCCCGGGGCCAGGCCGGGGGGGGGGGGGGTCAGCGCGCAAGGCCTGTCGGGACTGGGAGCTGTGCCTGCAGGGCCTGGGTGCTGCTGCTGCACAGGTGCTGGACACAAGAGCATCACCCCCGGGCCTGCACACACTCTCCCCAGCAGGGGGTTGGCTGCCCTCGGGACCCACAGCAAACCCACCAGGTCCTCTTCGGTGCTGGGGACTTGGGGCCAACGCCCCAGTGCCCTCAACCGCCTCCTGGGCCCAAGCTCCGGAACTGTGCGGCGTCGGCCTATGGGGACAGAGAGAACCACAGCTGGCTGTGCTCAAGCGGCCTGTGGCCGGCAGTGAGGCGGACAGGAGTCAAAGGTGACAGTGCAGGCGGCCCTGAGGATGGCTCAAGATGAAGGGCCTGGTGGGAGCAGCCTAAAGCAGGAAGGGCAGGTGGATTTCGTCTTAAGGGCTGACCCGGATCAGCTGCGGTGGGCTGCCTGGAACTGCGGACAGACACCATCGAGGCTGCTGTCAGCCTCAGTGCAAAAGGACGGCCGTGATTGATTAGTGCTGTCTGCCAGGGCCTGAGAAAGGAGAATGTAGCCAATCTGCCTGTATTCGCCATCCCTGGCCTAGAGGGAAGGGGAAAGAAAGATGTGGGGTGCGGGCAACCCTGTCCTGAGCCTTGGGGAAGCATGATGTTGGGCTAGGAGAGGGAAGAAGGAAGGGACCCAGGCTCCGCAGAGGGTCCCACCAGCTCCCTCCCATGGAACTTGTGGGCTCTAACCCATGCGCAAGCAGAGGGGCTGGAGCAAAAGGATGCAAGCTGTGGGGGGTGGCGGGGGGCATGCCAGGGAGCCTACAGATGCCACTGTGGAAGAGGAGGACACAAAGGCAAGGTCATGGGGACAAAGGCATGGGAGTTTCAATGGTGGGGCAGGGCTAGAAGTCCCAGGGACTGTTTTTGGCTGGTGGTCCCTTGTGGACTGGGTGGATAAAGGCACACCAACCCGGAGCTTTAGAGGCCTGTGAGAACAGTGTGGACTGTCCCTTGGCCTCTCCTGATGGCCCCGCTGCTGCCCAGCCCTCCTGAGCCCATTCCCTGTGGAGGTGGTGGGTCACTTATCCACAAGGACCTGGGGAATGACCCACATCAGCAGGCAGGCACAGGGGGGCCATGGCAGCCCAGTCACCTGAGCCACTGCAAGGCCTGCCCACATAGACACCCCAGAGCCACCTCTCCACCAAAGGGGCACAGGCAGACCCCGTCAGAGGCTCCCAGAGCTACACTGGAGAGCGGCCCTTTCTCGGCGGGCGCAGATGCCTGTGCGGTGTCCCTGCCCCGGCCAGCACAGCACTTCCCCGGCTTGGTCAACAGGTGGGGAGGGCGGCCCAGGGAGAGGGCAGAGCCACTGGGCAGAGCCGGCCACGCCCCCCTGCCTGACGGCCCAGCTGCTCCCTACCATCACCCAGGGAGTCGTGTTTCCACGGGGATGACTCTGTTCATCCCTGCTGACCCCGTCCCTCAGCTGCTCCTCGGCCCCGTCGTGGGCGTGGGAGCGCGTGTGTGCGAGCACACACCCTGCATCCTACCCTGCCACTGGCCACACACCTTCCCGCCTTCATCCCATCCCCGGCCCCACAGACACGCCCATACAGAAGATGGCCCTGCAGAGACCCCATGGCTGCTGGGCGCCCTCCCAGTTCACAGGCCTTGCTTGGCAACAATCCTCTGGCCTGATGCTGCCCACTCTGCCCTTCACGGGGGCCCAAGTGGGACGACGGAGAACCAGAGACAGTCTGGCTCCCCCCCAGCACTCATGGAAGCTACACTGGCTGGAGTCCCTAGAGGCCCCCAGCGCACAGACCTAGCGGTTTCCTCCGGCTCCCCCTCAGGCACCTCATACTGTTGCTGTCTTTCTTCTCCTTTTTTAAGCCTTTTTTTTTTTTTTTTTTTTAAGAATCAGTCCCACTTCCTCGATGGCCGCAGACCAGTGAGGTCATGGCTCCTTTCATGCAGCCAGGGTCTTCAAAGCTCTAAGGTCAGCAGTCATTCATGCCCCGCTTGCGTGAGGGTCTGTTGGTATCCATCTCCCCCGCCAGACTCCGCACAGCCTGGGGTTCGGGGTCACCACTGAATCTGGTGCCTGGCACGTCGGCACAGGTCTGTTTAGAGGCGGCTGCCCGGCCCCCGCCTCTCTTCCCTCCCCTGGGCTCTCCCTTCAGGCTCCAGACCCACAGACGGCACACTCGGCCTGGCACCTCCTCCTGCTGAACCCAGCCGGCCCCAGGCAGACTCTGCATCTCCCCCTTCAAAATCTGCACTTTATCCTAAATTCCTCTCCCACCCTTTTCACCAGCCCTGAAGCCCCTTCATGTCTGGATGTCTTGTTATGAGAGGGAGAAAGTGCTGTGCCTGGCTAGGCCAGCTGAGGCATGGCTTTGGCTGGTGGTACACCTGGTCCATTCCCAGGTCCAGCACCCACAAGGCTCTCCGTCCTTCAGGCTCTTGCTCCTTCATCACCCCTCACCTGCTCTGTCCAGATCCCCCCCACCTGCCTCCCTACTTCCCACTGGGCTCCCCGGTAATCCACCATCCACATTTCTGAAATCACAAATCTGATCAAAACTGCGTACTCCTTCAGTGGCTTCTTACTGCTTAGTAGCGTGTCCACACCCTTCCACCTGGCTCCCCAGGCTCGCCACGACCCCATCCCTACTTTATCACCCTCCCCTGCCCCGCACGTACCCACCCTCTGGCCGTGCCATTTCCATCCTCACAAATGGGCCAAGCTGTTTTACAAGCCCCTCACCCAGGCCTTTGCTTATGGTCTGCTTGCCTGCCGGGGCACCCCTCCCTTTTGTCACCCCAGAGAACTTTAATTTGTCTTTCTAGACTCAACCTACACAAGAACCACTACTTCTAGGAAGCCCTCCCTGGGCACGCTGGCTGAGTGGATTTCTCCTTTGTACCACCCGTGTACCTAATACTGAACAAAAGGTTTGTTTTGTTTTGTTTTAAGATTTTAAGTAACTTTACCCCCAATGTGGGGCTCGAGCTCACAACCCTGAGATCACAAATCGCACGCTCTACCGACTGAGGCAGCCAGACGCCCCATAAAAGGTTACTGAATGAATGGATGAGTGAATGAATGAATTAGAGGAGCCCTCCACCTTTGCCCCTTTCTCCTGTAAGCACACCCTGGATCTAAATCATGACCAGAGACCACGTCTCCTCTGATATCCCTTCCCCCCACTTCCTACCTCTCAGCTCACAGTCAAGTGCCCTTTGCTGTGATCCTTGGGCTTCTTCTGGCCTTCACCCCTTGTCCCTGCATTTTCTCCCTCTCCAACAGAACCCTCTGACTTGCCCAGCTCAACTGTAAGCACCATCACCACAATCCCTCCTCGAAAAGACTCTCAACTCCGGCCTCCTCTCTCCTTCCACCCCACTCGTGTGGGGAAACCCCAGCCCGCCCGTCCCGGTTCCTGGGTCAGCCCCTGCGCGGCTGGCTGCTGCTGCAACAAAGGCTGGGCCGGGCTGGGTTCACAGTTGACGTCGTGGTTACAAACGCCATGTGTGCGCTCCCTTTTTGCTCCGGGGGTGCAGGTTTCTCTGGTGGCTTCACTCTTCCACTTTGTGACAAAACCATCCCATTCCTTCTTTTCTTTCCTCAAACCCCCCACACTCCTCCCCAGGGTGCTCCCGGCCAGTGACTTTGCCTCAGCCTTCAACAAGAACATAGCATCGCACCCCATTTCACTGACAAAACCATCTTCGCGGCCCCCTGCTCCTGCCATCCTGCTAAACGGAAGACGAGGGATCACCAAAGGCCAGGCCTTCCACGTGGGCTCGGCCCTGACCCCTGTTGCCTTCCCAAGGATCTCGTTCTCTAGTTACTCTCTCTACCACTGGGAACTTCTTCCTGGCTATGACCAGGCTCTCCCATCGTAATAATAATGGCGGCGGTGACAGAAAGCGCCTTCCCAGCCTCACACCTCCCTTCATCTGTGGCCCCATTTTTCTGTTTCCCTTCATGGAGAAACTTCTTAGAAAGTGTCTACGCCAGCTGTCTTTACCTCCTCACCTTTTGTTCACTCTCCAGCCCATTCCAACCTGGCTTCCATCCCCCCACTCAAGTGAAACGGCTTTTGTCAAGTCACTAGCACCCTCTCTGCTGCCAACTCTGCCAAACACGTTTCTGTCTTCACCTCCCTCAACCTCTCAGAAGCATTCAACCCAGTTGGCCGCAGCCCCCTTCTGGAAAGGCTCTATTCGCTCAGCCTCCATGAGAGCATGTCCATGGTTTCCCTCCTACCCCTCTGGCTGCTGCTTCTCAATTTCTTTGCTTGTTCCTCTTTCTCTCCCCAATCTCTAAAGTTTCTCAGGGCTCAATCTGTGTCTGGATGGCATCATTCCTAGGACTGGAAATAGTGTTACAGGAACCCATCACTTCTCTTTTGAACTCCAGACTGATGTATGCAATTGCCAACTGGACCACTCCATGTGGATAGCTAAGAGGTATCCCAACCTACAGTATCTGGGATGAAGCATTTGCGCTCTTCAATTGTTCCAACCCATAGTCTTCCTCAACCCAGAAAATGTCCATCCATCCATCTGGTTGCTCCAGTCAAATATCAGGGTGCCTCCCTGAATGCTTTTTTCCCTCACCTTCCACATCCAGCCCATCCAAAGTTCCATTAATACCATCTCCAAAATATACATGACCTCCACCTTTTCCCCCTAGACCATATCACAATAATCTCTTGCAATAGCCTGTTTCCTGCTAACTGCTTTTGCCCTGCCCTCTGCAAATCCGCTCCATAGAGCAGCCAGTGATCTTTTAAAAACAAGAAACTAATCATGTTTCTCCTGCTTAAATTTCTCCAGCAATTTCCTGTTGTGCTTAGAACAAAACCTAAATGTCTTACTGTGACCTACAAGGCCCAAGCGATCCAGTCCCTGCCT